ATTTAGTATTTGTAAGGCTTTCGCAGAAGCTTCAGTTTGCTTCAAAACACTTCCTTTCTTATATTTATCTCCAATGTTCGAAGATGAATAAAGGAAGAGTTTTTTTTTTCGGAACTATTAAATTACTCCCTGATATATAAATTGCGTTGTAGAATCTACCATTTAATGTGGCGTTAAACCATATTTGATTATCTCCACGTCTGAATCTTAAGAGACGCGCGCTGTTCGATTACAATCTGTTCTTCATTAGTCGCGTGACGTCAGCGTAAACTTTTAATTATGTTTTTTTTGTACAGTGTAATATAATGCAGTGCAAGACATAAGATGTGACGATTATGCTCTAAAAATTAATAATAAGTGGTAGGTGTTTTGTAGGTACTAAAATTGTAACATTATTACTTATATAACATTATTATAAATAATAATTATAAGACGTGGTAGGTGTCTTGTAGGTACTAAAATTATAACGTCATTACAACCGATGTAAAATACCAATGTCAATACTTTGTGAACTATAACAAAACTGCAGAACTGAAATGGTCTGATGGTTTGGTTTTCTATGCATCAACAAGGTAATTTTATTTAGCTAAGAAAATTGAATTATCATATCCAGATCGACCCTTGATGTTTATATTTTCTGAACTAATTAATTATTTTAAAGACCCCTCAAATCATACGATGATTAATTGAAAGTGCTTAAGAATGTATACACTTTTAAAATAAGAAAAATAAACTCTTGTAGATGCTTATCACAGAATCTGTTTATCACTATAAACTTGCACGTTTTCATTGAACATATAATATGTATTGTGTTATCGCTATCGCTCGTGCCTTATCCTAAAAAATATTTGTTCAGATTAAAAGGGTTGATGTAAATTTTAATTTAGATTCTGACGACTTGAGGTGTAGTGAATAAACCAGTTGAAGAAATTGTTGGGCGAAGCCTTTTCTTCTAATTACTCTTTGTTCTTAACGTGATTGTAATTTGAATTTTTTTGACTAACAACTTACTTTTTGACTGTTAACATTACTTTATTAAGATTTTTTATTTTTATATAACAAAATCTACATGTTTCGCCATAAATCGTCATTAAAAAAAATCCATACGTTATACCTTAATATACGAGATTAAAGTCTGGTAGAAGGATAAGTTAAGCCACGGTGTAATCAACTTATTTTGCAGTCCTACTGTCATTTCCCTCGCTTCTTTACACTCGCTTATAACTCTCAAATTATCAGCAAATATATTATTTAATATATATATCTTTTAAACATTATTTAAGGATATGGAAGTCGTCGTGGTCTAAAAGATAACCAAACGCCCCGTGTCCTGGTGCATTCGTATCAAGCAATGCGATTGTGCCGATGTTCAAATCCCGCATAACAAATGTTCACGAATACTTCCACTGGTGGTAGGGTGTCTTGTGAGTTCGCACGGGTAGGTACCCTGCATCTTTCTGCCGTGAAGTAGTAGTGCGTTTCGTTTTGAAGGGTGGAGTAACCGTTGTACTGTAAAAGCCGAGACTTAGAACTCATGTCTCAAGGTGGGTCGCATTTACGTTGTTTATATATATGGTCTCAGCTCACCACTCAACACCAGGTGCATCGTAAGCTCGTCCACCCAATAAAGCAATAAAATATAAAAATCTCTCCAATAGCGATTTGAAATGACTCTTGAACCCGCTTGCCGGCCGTAACTTAAAGTATTAAATAAAGTTTTTACTTAATGATTTGTCTTCATTTTTGACAGTCAGATCCACAGTGAAACGCGTCAGTAATTTTCGCTTCAAATTGTACGAAAATAGATAAATCTTATGTATAAAATCTTGGTCGGTTCTCTTCGTACACTCATGGCCTGCTCCACTTAAACATTGCATAATGTGAACACTAGGAACAAACATAGGCTTGCGTTGCCGGCGGCTCGAATTAAGAAAATAAGCAACTCTTTTAGGGGGCTGGGTGTACAACTTTTCAACAAGATCCCACAAAACGTTCAATTACTACCTGTTTATAGATTTAAGAAAATTGTCAGGGAACGTTTGTGCAACAAGGCATATTATAAAGTTAAGGATTATTTACTAGATAGCACTACGTGGGAATGAGGCGTTCGCTCCTGGCCTTTTCATTTTTCATTATTACTATTTTTTAATTGTATTTTTTGACTTGTTTTTTCCTTTATTGTAAATATTTTTACTTATTTAAAAAAAAAGTAAATATTTGAGAAAAAACACAAAAAAGCCCGCTGAGTTTGTTTCGCCGGTTCTTCTCAGGACTGTGGCTTTTTTTGGAACCGGTGGTAGAGTTAACGTTGTTATTTATATTTTGACATTCAACAAGCGTGTTATACTGACATCTAAGTTGAAATAAATGATTTTGAATTTGAATTTGAAACCTATTTTTCTTTGTGTAGTTACGTCAAAAAAGAAAAGTGTCCGAGACAACCCCAATCAAAAGATACTTCAACTTTTAAGAATTTTTTAAATCTTCTTTTCTACTAAATCTATAGGTACATGCCGTATTTATGTTTCGGGGCTTCACTGAGAGGCGTACTAATTAAAATTTAATTTCAAAAGGAGATTACTTCGAGACGAAGATTAATTTTTTTATTTGCTCTCGTGCCGCAATAATTCTTTTGGCTTCTCACGGAGAGAGTAACCTTTCTACTGCTCAGACAAAAAGTATTGTTAGATTAAAGAAAAGTTGACCAAAAAAAAAACATTTTTTCAGTGAGTTTTATTTATTGTTTATGTAACTTATATTTGCTCTTTATTAGAATTTCGGTGACATTTGAGTTTTTCGTACAATTTACCCTTTCGACGCTTACGTCTTGTGAAAATACATAACACCTACATCTTTACTTTACTTCCTATCGGAGCGTGTAATTTCGTGGGAGAAATTTGGTGACTTTCTGACGGTATATAAAACAACTTAAGCCAGTAACCAATAATATCTTAAATAAATAGTGCGCGCGTCCCGGTCATTCCTTAGGTGGGCATTAAAGCTCCTGAAGAAGGAGCTCCTGTTGGAAGGCTCTATGGTGGCGGTGTGAACGCCCATGCCCCCACATCCTTTCGATGTGGAGGCCGCGGCCGAATGGTTCCGGTTTCGCATATGCGACGCCTCGATGCCTGGATTATCGGTGTGGCAGCAAGCTTCGTGCTCTGGGCGTGGCGCGTCTCCCCAAAAATGAGCCGCAGGCACGTGGGATCTACGGACCGTCAAGATGGTTTACCCGATCTTTGATGACTGGGTGAATCGTGGCGGAGGATGCCTCACCTTCCGTCGGGTGTAGGTGCTGACCGGCCACGGATGCTTCGGGAAGTACCTGCACCGGATTGGAGCTGAGCCGACGACGAGGTGCCACCATTGTGGACACGATCTGGACACGGCGGAGCATACGCTCACTGTCTGCCCCGCTTGGAAGGAGCAGCGCCGTGTCCAGTGTGCTTAGGGCGAGTTTTTTAATGTTCTCGATAGCGTAAAAGTTACCTGAAATTTGTATTTAGCTGGAACAGTGCCCCTACGTTCCAGAACGTTCCAACTCCATACAAATTTGACTTAACTTTTACGCTATCGAGAACGTTAAAAAACTCGCACTAAGCACACTGGTCGCAAAGATAGGACCGGACTTTTCCAAAACTTTACAGTTTTCGTGGTCACGAACGACCAACGGGTTATTCGTTGTGAATCAGGAATGTAAAAGTAGAAAAGGTAAACTACGTAAAAATAGTTTTAGTTATGTCTACGTTTCGTCGAAACCAAAGAGCATACTATATTAACGGCGTAAGTTTAAAGGAATTTGAGGTGTAAACTTTATCCACTCTAATTGTGAGTTAGTATAGCGGTAGGCAGCGGCTTGGCTCTGCCCCTGGCATTGCTGAAGTCCATGGGCGACGGTAACCACTCACCATCAGGTGGGCCGTATGCTCGTCTGCCTACAAAGGCAAAAAAAAAAGTCTTCGTCGTATTCGGAAATCGTCTGTATTCAGCCTGTAGTGCTTTCGAAGTAACTGATTGGCTGTAGGGGATTGCGCGAACTCTGAATTCACTTTGTCTTTTGAAATATACAAATATTTATAATTGAGGCCGTCAGCGCAAGTGGTCTAAGCTTACCTGAGCTTACTTTTACACTGCCTCATAGGCAAAAACAAAACGCGCAAAAACAATGTTGACAAAGCCATCTGCTATCTATGGGCGAAACTAGGGATAGGCCGGCTTTCATAAATCATTGAAATTTATTATGTTTTAAATAAATTGCAATATAGTAGAACCACGAATATGAAAAAATGTAGAATAGGCCACTTTTGTGCTGACGGCCTCAGTTGTGGTGTGGCAAATTAACGACAAAATAAAAAGACATTGTTTCAACATTACCAAAAAAATATTCCTCCTTCATTACCTTGGTGGAGTGCTTAGTTAAACTGATCATTGTAGCTGGCTCCGGATTTGATTGTGGTTAATATCTTAAGGAAAAACAAAAAAATATCGGTTTTATTGGTCCATGTATACATAGTTTTATTCTTAATCCAAGACAACCGTATAGTTATGTCTGCGGTTTACTGGGTGAAATCAGAATAATAATGTTACGCGCCGGGGTTCGGGATTAATAAAAATTCTACCGAATTACAAGTTAACACTGTATTAGCACTTAGAACAATTAAAACACTTCACAAACGCTTTAAAATTCTCAATTCACTACTTCCGCTTCGCTTCAGGTGATCCGTTCGCTGTTTCGTTTCGAGTAGTTCCGGTTACTGACGAACTGCGTGCCATCTCTGCAACGCTTTTACAGTCGAGATCAAATCCCTAGAATCGTCGAGAATATTCTACAAAAGTCTAGTATTGTGTGTTTCCGCTATCTGACAATAGATGGCGTTGTACTTCTCGAGCGTTCTAGATGCTACTAGATCCTTCGATATTCGTTCGACTATTCGGCATTAGATGGTGTTACTCTCACCGGCGTAAAAATAATATTATGTTGCTTTTATTTTGATCAACAGAATGTGGCAAGCGTCGTACGGTCGGGGGTGGAACCAAGCGCATAGTGGGAGGAGTAGAAGCCTCTCCTGGAGACTGGCCCTTTCTGGCCGCGATTCTCGGAGGGCCGGAGGAGGTGTTCTACTGTGCTGGTGTACTCATTGCTGATCAGTGGATACTTACTGCCTCTCATTGCGTTGGCAAGTAAGTATTGATATAGGGTAAGCTGTACAAAAATTGACACTAGACCATTACAAAACTATCACTGAAAATATTTTATAGGATCTTCTTGAGTATTGAGTTGTTCTTCTTTAAATGAGGCTTAATCAATTTAATCAAGGGCATTCAACTCAACCCATCAGTTGTATCTGTCTACATATCTGTAAACGTACAACTAAAAAAAAAGCAATCTTACTAAATGTTTTTGAATATTATATCACGGTAACATAAAGAATTCGATCGTGATATTTACATATTTTAATATTCCAGTCACTCAGACGTGAATGGATGGACCATCCAGCTGGGTATAACTAGACGACGCTCTCATGCCTACTACGGTCAGAAGGTGAAGGTGCGTCGGGTGGTGCCACACCCGCAGTACAACGTCGGGGTCGCTCATGATAACGACATCGCTTTATTCCAGGTGAGACTTGGCGCTCTAGGTGCGGTGTACTTTGAAAAGTGAGACCTTAGAACTCATATGGCGGAATTTACGTTGTAGATGTCTATGGGTTTCGGTAACCACTTAACACCAGGTGGGCTGTGAGCACGTCCATCCAGCTAAATAAAACGAAACAAAAATATCTTGTTGTCCAAAGTTATGCCTTCGTAGTTGCGATGTCCGGTTTTGCTATTTGACGATAGATGGCATTACTCGTACTGGCATAATAGCTTAGCCACTTAGGCCAGCAAAGGAGCTCATGGCTGAAGATAAAACTGCTTGTAAGGCCATATATATCTAGGTTAGCCTGAATGCCACTCACGTCAAAGTCTCAATTACAAAGGCAATACGGCTTTATCACTCTTCTTTCCGGCACTTGCGTAACTAGGACTTATCATGTCTTGTTGTATCGGATAGACGAACTCAACGGCTTACCTCGACTGCTGAAGTCGTCGTGACCTAAAGGATAAGACGTCCGATGCATTAATATCTAGCGATGCACCGGTGTTTTACCTTGACTATCAATCACTGCTGAAGTCGTCGGGGCCTAGAGGATAAGACGTCTGGTGCATTCGTATTCAGCGATGCAACGGTGTTCGAATCCCGCAGGCGGATACCAATTTTTCTAATTAAATACGTAGGTACTTAACAAATGTTCACGATTGACTTCCACGGTGAAGGAATAACATCTTGTAATAAAAACCAAACCCGCAAAATTATAATTTACTGGTGGTAGGACCTTTTTTTTTGTTGCTAGATGGGTCGACGAGCTCACAGCCCACCTGGTGTTAAGTGGTTACTGGAGCTCATAGACATCTACGACGTAAATGCGCCACTCACCTTGAGATATAAGTTCTAAGGTCTCAAGTATAGTTATAACGGCTACCCCATCCTTCAAACCGAAACGCATTACTGCTTCACGGCAGAAATAGGCAGGGTGGTGGTACCTACCCGCGCGGACTCACAAGAAGTCCTACCACCAGTAATTACGCAAATTATAATTTATCATTTTTATTACACGATGTTATTCCTTCACCGCGGAAGTCAATCGTGAACATTTGTTAAGTACGTATTTCATTGGAAAAATTGGTACTCGCCTGCGGGATTCGAACACCGGTACATCGCTACGTATGAATTCACTGGATGTCTTATCCTTTAGGCCACGACGACATCAAATGGTGCTCTAAGGCTGTTTTCATATACTTGCAATGCATATTATCCTAACATTAAATTTAAACGATCTGTTATTACATATTTAACTTTTATTCATATCCCGCCTGCGGGATTCGAACACCGGTGCACCGCTCAACACGACTGCACCGGACGTCTTATCTTTTAGGCCACAACGACCTATACTACTTAATTATGTTGATTGTATGTGGCAATGGTTCACATGGTTCAGTTGGCGGTGAGGGTGCGCTACCACGAGCAGCTGTCGCCGGTGTGCCTGCCGCCCGCCGACCGGCCGCTGCCCGCCGGCACGCTCTGCACCGTTATCGGGTGGGGGAAACGAGACGATAAGGACAGTGAGTGGAACTTTTAATTCAGTCGGTATTATTCCGGTCAATTATGTTGAAAATGTAATGATTTGATGAAGATGTTTTTATTAAAATTTGCCGTAACAGTTCCATTGGTAGATTCACAGAACTAGTAGGTGAGCTTACTTACTCTAACCTGGTGACATTCCTAATACTATAATAGCTCTAGCAAAAGCAGTGCTTCGCAGACCGGTCATCGTTCGAGTAAATTAACCCATAAACACAGCCCACTGAGTTTCTCGCCGGATCTTCTCAGTGGATCGCGTTTCCGATCCGGTGATAGACTATAGCCAAGGCGGCTATGGCGGCATATCCAAGCAGCGGTTCATTGCTTAGAAACATTTTCATACCTCGACTATAGAATGAGTTGTCAGAACGATCGGGAAATGCCATGCAAGATTTCAGACTTATATAGTACGTAGCCAGAACAATAACTAGAAAGACATTATAAATAATATAGATGACTTCTGCTCCAGTATTGAGCTGTACGATAAAAGGCAATCATCTCAAACGATTTTCTCAAAACTTTCCAATGGACTTGTTGGTAAAAAGGCAAAACTTTTTGGCACTTAATTGGGTTGTATTGCAGTGTCGGAATACGAGCCGGCAGTTAATGAAGTGGAAGTGCCCGTGCTGCATCGCGACCTCTGCAACCAGTGGCTGGAGCATCGGGACCTCAACGTCACCGAGGGGATGATCTGCGCCGGGTACCCGGAGGGGGGAAAAGATGCTTGTCAGGTAAAAACTGCTATACCATCTGAGGCCTGCAAATTCATTCGATGTGGCCATAATGAAAATAGTCGCGTTATATTAATTTCATTTGGGCAGAATTCTTTATCGTGTGTTCTGCTTGCGAGCTGAAGATCTAGACTGAATCAAGCGTCACAATAAAAAACCGACACCTTTTTTCGGTAATTTTAGAGGACCTTCCCGTCATCTTGGGGATTCGAAACTTTTATCCATCGTTTCAGCTTGGCGTCAATTTTGAATGGATATATGTAGTTTATATATTTATAAGAAATAATAATTTAATGAAATAATTGTTTAACTATTATTCCAGAAATTTATCTGCAATATCAACTTTATTCATATATTTAATTAGTGAACTCTAACTAAAAAGATATAGTTAAATGAACTTCGTTCTAATAAAAGGACTTCCTTTTTTTTTAATAAATCACTGCAGTGCTTACTCGATTTTTTTCTAATACTGTCTGCATTTATCCAATGATTTATTTTTTAATATTTTTTACTAAATTTTGTTAAAAATTCTACTTAGGCTTAAGGCTAGGTAGGCACCGGTCTAGTGACCTCATCGGAGATTTTGACATTTTGACATTGCGCCCATAGATTTTATCGGCCCTGCCACTCTGCAGTTACGCCACTGAGACCGTCCTTCCAACTCACAACTAACCTGCTATTAAGAGTTGACACACAGATAACGTAAAATGATTAACGCAACCCTTGAGATATGAAGTGTTTTTTTTTGTATAACGACTGCCCCTTCAAATCAGTACCTTTTATTACTTCGAAGCAGATTTTATTATTAAGTTCGGCTAATCCGTCTATACTAACAAATAATAGTTAAAAAAAAACTAACAAAATATGCTTTTATAGAAAATCCAACTAAAAAATAGAACATAAATTTTAATAAATTTGAATTAAAAATAGTGTAAGAAAAAATGATTTTATATTTAAAAAAAGCGTGGGGTGCATTATTTTAATATTGTATTGTCATCGATCCTTAATAAGTATACCAAATTTCGAGTTAATCCGACGTTTTGAAGAGGGTCAAAATCATGTTCAAAGATTCCCTTACATACATACGTCTGAAGCTAATAAAAACGTTTTTAAAAATTAATGTTTTTATAATCATCACAGGGCGATTCCGGCGGGCCGCTGCTCTGTAAGGATCCCGACGACTCCTCGCGCTGGTACGTCGGCGGCATCGTGTCTTGGGGCATCAAATGCGCGCATCCCCGCCTCCCGGGAGTCTACGCGTACGTCTCCAAATATATACCGTGGATACAGAAACATATTAGTCTTTATAACGACGACAACGCCAAGTCTGAAGACGTTTAGATTATATACAAGACTTTTTTTTTTTGACAAATTTATATATAATCTGTGCTAAATTCCAAAATGGAGGGAAACGTCACTAAATTACGGTGTTGATCCCTTATATTTGATACTATGATCAAGATCTTGAATTTAAATATATAATATGTATATACAGACACATATAAGACTCGAAACGTTAATTATGACAATAATAAAAGTAATGATAACCGTGGATACAGAAACATATTAGTCTTTATAACGACGACAATGCCAAGTCTGAAGACGTATAGATTATTTACAAGACTTTTTTTTTTGACAAATTTATATATAATCTGTGCGAAATTCCAAAATGGAGGGAAACGTCATTATATCAAGGTGTTGATCCCATACATATATTTGGTACTATGATGAAGATCTTGAATTTACATATATCTATATATATATACATTTGGAAGACTCGAAACGTTAATTATGACAATAATAAAAGTAATTATAATGTAATCGAGACAATAAATCGAACAAATAACGACAATAATTATTTTATCAATTAAAACTTAGGGATAGCCGTAAATAAATGTAGGTATTTAGTTCATACATATTTATAATAAATAAATAAAAAAGAATCACAAAAACACATATTACTCATAACATATCACACAACTATAAGATCGTAAAACACTGTGATACAAAATCATTGACGAATAAATAAAAAAATATCAAAGTTCCAATATATAAAAATATGTAGTTTATTGAGAAAAAAAATAATCTGAAAATAAATTATTTAGAAGAAAAAAAATATAATTAAAATTACATGTACTTTGAATAGAAGACCTTAGACTAACTGAAGTAGGGTTGGGAAAGCTTTAGACAATTTTTAGATGTTTACACGACCTGTTGCTTTTCGTTGTGTTCTCTAAGCGTTAGATCGTAGTTGTGTTTAGTAGGTAAATATTAATTTGATGTTTGATGTCTGTAGTATTAGATAAAAGTGCTTTCGTAGTTATTAAAAAAAAAAAGCGATAATATTCCTTTACAAGTGCTTAGGATAGAATTTTTTACAAAAAATACAAAACTTCTTCATAAGACAATAATTCAAAGTAAACTAAGACAATAATCTTGTTGACTGTTTAAAAATATTTTCTACGGTTGTTAATGCCAAAATATAAATACATAGTAGTATTCGTTGTCTTCTTCTTGCATATGAGAAATGAAAGTCAATGGAAAGAGACAAAAAAATTAAGGCACGATATATTTATTAACTAGTGAAAAATTAAAAACGTTAAAATGACTTTACAATGTATTTATTTACATTTTTTTTAATGTAAGCTTCGTTGTTCGTATCGATGTGTGTAAAAGTTCGTGATTTCTAATGTTTTCTGATTTCTAATTCTAATGTGATCTCTAAATACGAGTTGTGGTAGTTCAATAAGGTGAATTTTCATTTTGCATAAAATATCTAAATATTGTAAATGTTCCAATACAAATTGATAAGTGTGCTTAAAAAAAACATCGTGAGATATTTATAAATCATATACCACAGTCTCATCTCTAAATAATAACTGCGGAGCAAACTTTTTTAACTAAAACATTTTAACCTAAATTTAATATTTTTGTAAGAATGAACATTGCATTTCGAAAGATTCCTACTTTTCCGTCTCTTTTTTAGTGACAATAAGTAAACGCAGAACATTCAGGTGTTTGCGAAAATCGGTTCAGTGCGAAATTATTCTTTTTACTTTTTTAACGCATCCGACCGGCATGGCCTTCGTGATTTATGTAAGGAGTTTTGAGGGAGCAAAACACAAAATTGAAGTGATATGGCGATTATATTAATAGCCACAACTTTCTGAATAGACCTATTGCTTCGTTCATTAGCAAAAATAAATGGTGCGCGTGAAAAAAGTGAAACTTCTTTTGCGGTTTTGTAGTATTGTGGTGCTCTTTATATTTCATCCTTAAATCAAATTTCTCTTGTAATAGGAATGCTGTGTATAAGAGAAACGACCTAGCTCGCTTTGTCCTTTCCTTTCCTCCACGGTCGAGTGGCTCGTGAGACGCTTTGTCTATTTTCTCACTCTCGCTCTTCCTAAATTGTATATTTTCTCTCTAGCTGTAACGAATCTGTCATGAGTTCAATTTTACTCTCAACGCGCCTAAAGAAGTTTCACCTCAAAAAACCGTGACAACTTTAAGTTATTGTTAAGTTTAAGTTTTAGTTTTCGTATTTAGTCTAACTGAAGGATTCTCGTAGAATACGTTTTTTTTCAATAAAAATTATGAAATTAGCGGAATAGCTTTAATAGAGACTAAGGTTATTGTGTAGTTCATAGATGTAGGTGTGAATTTTTGATCTAGGTACAACAAAAAAAAAANTTCACCTCAAAAAACCGTGACAACTTTAAGTTATTGTTAAGTTTAAGTTTTAGTTTTCGTATTTAGTCTAACTGAAGGATTCTCGTAGAATACGTTTTTTTTCAATAAAAATTATGAAATTAGCGGAATAGCTTTAATAGAGACTAAGGTTATTGTGTAGTTCATAGATGTAGGTGTGAATTTTTGATCTAGGTACAACAAAAAAAAAAACTCAGTTTAATGTTGGAAATTTAATTTCACGAGAGTAAAATCTAGACCTAAATTTTTTAACGCAAAGTTATAGTGGAGATATGCTCAATGTTTTATGAAAAAATATACCTATATTTATCTATGTAAAATACCTATATTATGTACTTAGTGAAATAAATGAAAGAATGGTTGTCGACTTCTTATGAGTCTCTTTCACTCGAGCTTTCTATTAGTCTTAAATTAAATAAATGAAAACATTATTAGGATAAATACGTTATTCAAAGTGTTTGGAAAGTATCGTGTTGTTTAGCGCGGCGTCCCCCCGGGGCGATCCCTGTAATGTACTTGAAATTTAGACGAATAATAAGTGGTGGATAAAATAAGTCAGAAAGCTTAAGCCGCGTTCAATTGAGTGTTTTTTTTTATTTGTAATAAATATCGACTTCAAACTTTTGGACTACCAAAAACCTACTAAGGTGCAAAAAAATATATATAAACTAAGTATTTATTTAAAGCTTAGGTATATTTATATTTTACGTTACGCAAACTAAATATTAAAGCCAATAAAGTTTCCACTACACATTCATCTAAATTTCAAAACAAATTTTAAATAAACTAAGGTAGGCTAATTTTATAATAGACAAGTATTTAGTAGGTAGAATTTCGCTTGTTATTAAGACAAATTCGTATTTGACCTCTTTCTGGGAACTAGTTTTGTTATGTACATAGCTTTAAGGAGATATTTCTTTTTATAATTTTTTCATATATATTTTTTAACTATTGATCTATACCCTCAAATATATTTTATTCATATATTATCATTCATATATGTAGACACATTTTAAATATGTTTGTTTATGAACCTCGAACTGTTCCTCTGATTCTTCCTTCTAACTGTTAGCTTTTAGTTTTCTATATGTATCACTGAAATTACATTTAAAATTATAAATTTTATACATATAAATGAACAAAAATGCATTGGTATCGGGCTTTATACTGAACATGCGTAGACGGCGCATGTTTTTTAATAATAAAAAAAAACGACGTAGTGTGTAAAATATATGTAATTTAATATTCATGTATACTGTGGTAGTTGTAATTGCTGTTTTTGTAAAATGATATTAGGGAAAGTGTCGTGTTCACAGCAATCCACTGAGTCGGATCAGACTAAATATTATAGGTAAATTTAGATAAATGTACGGTTAATGAGGAAACTAAATTTGAAACATTTATCGAAAATTATGTTTCATACAATTATGAATGTTTGGCTATAAGATGATTGGCTTGTAAGGTTTTTTTTCAAAAAAACAAATATTATTTGAACAATAGGAGAAATCAGAATGATCTTTAATCGGTTACATTTAGTGATATATGCAGGTACCTTATTTTTCAGATACAAAAACGTTGAAGAATATTTTTGTTTTTTCGAAAAGGATGGATTAATGATTTGGAATTCTTTTAAACATAAGCATTTCTAATATTATTCTGAAAATTTGTATATGAAATGTTGTAAGATAATTTTTAATCGGGCGGTGTTTGTGATAGCTGTTTTCATAGGTACTTTGTTATATTAACTTTTCATTACATTAAAGTGAAGTAACGGGAGTAGGAAGTAGGGAGAAGATAGTCTTCTTGCAACTCTGTCGTAAAGTTTTCATCCAAGATCTGTGACGTCTATGAGGTCTCCTCTTGCTCTTTTGGAACTTGTATGATATTACTTTAATTTCCGCGCTGCCGTGTCTTAAGTGGGAAATAGCCTTAAAGTTTGACTTCGAAACCAAGCGTCACCTAAGTGAAACAATAATAGAACATCCCAAAAAATGCTGGTAAATCCTGTTAAATGGCAGTTACATTATATTTTAATATAAATCGTGAAACTCTTTCGTGAATTCACAAAAGATCCTAAAATTAGTCAATTTATATACAAACTGATCTCTCGTATTTTTGATGAAGCCCTGCGACTGACTTTGCTAACATCGGCCCTAGCAAAACTTATTAAAATTATAATTGGCACTTTAGGGAAGGTTTCTCTCGTAGTACGATAGGAGAAGCACTGGTAGTTTCAAGAAATTACAAAGTTTTTCATTTAGTTAGAGATTGTCACATTGGAGCGTGATCGGATTTCAATAGTCAGTTTTAAAAATATTATATTATTTATATGATCGTTGTTCGATGTATCAGATACATTGAGTGTTCGCAAATCTTGAATTAATTGAAAATATTTGCCATATTTTTAGATGAGTAAATTGGAATATAGCAGATTTTAAAGAAAAATAACAAATACAGAAAAATAACTTAAAATATATCTCAAAAATGTTATAATATGACAATAAATCTGATAATAATGTACTATACGGTATTACTAAAAATATTTATATCTTCGTTGAATAATACTGTAATAATTTTAGGAATGTTTGTATTTTTCCAAAGTTTAGATTTACAAATTTTTAATGTGTAGC